CTGTATTTGAATACTACCAACCTTATTTTATTTGTAACATATTCTGTTGTATTTATCTATGCTTGTAATTTGTGTATTTGATCTTATTTTTACTGGCTGTTCTCTTGTCTCTTTAATCATGTTTAAACGTTCTTAGTTAATCTAGTAGTATTTGCTGTTGTATCAAAGAAGTACTTCGCTTTAAGTAATAAATAGAAAGCGAGTTAAATTGAAATATTTTTCTTTTCTTGCTGATCCGAAAAATGATCCGATCCGTGGGTCAAAAAACTGTAATGTGATACGAACCGTGAGATTTGTGATCCGTTGAACCACTAGCGATTAGATTAATCTTAATTTTGAATTTTCTAATATTATAAAAAAAATGTTTGAGTGTGTGATTTATTTATAAGTTTTTCTCCAATGCATATGAATTCCAATCTGTATTTGATTTCGAGGTAAAATGCCATAAAGATTGTCTTTATCATTTAATGACAAGCAAGAGTCTGGCTCATGGATTGTTGTTTGATTCATCACGATTAGATCTTATTAGGTGTTTGCTCATGTCTTTGTTCTTCACCAACAGATGACTCTGAGGAAGACTCCGGAAGAGACACACCTGCCAGCAGCTCCTCTCGACAAGAAGTAGATGAGGACAAGAAGGTAAAGAAAAAGAAAACCAAAAAGAAGAAAGAGAAAAAGAGCAAAAAGAAGGACGAGCCTGAAGACCCTGAGAAGAAGGCAAAGAAAAAAGGATTTGGATTGTTGAGGTATGAGTCTAAAAAGAGCTAGAAATTCACACACATCACAAGCATACATGTATAAAAGGAAATCTTCACAATGATTTGTGCCAAATGATTAGCAAATTATTGAAAAATGGATGCTGTTTTGTAGCTCTTAACGGAAACGTACTGAAAACATATTTAATCCTTATGGTCCGAATGAAGTTAGAAAACATTCATGTAGAATTAATTTTGTGCTGATCTATTGATAGATAGGGGGTGACTGATGGTACTGCATAAGGGCCCCCTGATGCAGCTGCACATGTGGAGGCCTTCCTATAATTACAGCACCATGGTAATTGAGGACAAGAAAAGTGAACTAACTATATGCTGTCTTTGTGTGATTTTATAAATATAGGCAGAGACAGATAAGATGACAGACATACTGTCATATCCATGCCTTTAATTGAGATCGACAGGCTTGTGTTTGATGGTTTTATATTTGGGCTTCATGCATAATTTTTTCCTCTCTTGGCGGACAAGAGAACTATTTTCATACGAGATGAAAGATGATTGAATGACAGTGCATGTGTCTTTGAATTATAAAATAGACCTCCTATGTCTCCTCTGTGAAGGCCGACCCCTGTTTTTCCAGCTCTGACTATCAATTGATCAGTAGAACCTTGTATTTGCATGGAAACCTTCATTTTGATTAGTTTTTGGGGGGATTTTATCTTTGTTCACTTGGGAACATTTCACCATTTTTGTCACTGCTAGCTTACAAAGTCAACGAGAAATTGTATCCACAAACCATTTGACTTCCATCATGACGTATTTCGGACTGAAATAGGATGTTCAACAAGAAAAAGTGTTGATTGTATCCGTCGATAAGCGGTTGGATCGTGTAAAATTGGTTACAAGTACAAGAATGGAGGTTTTTGATGGCTGTATGTATTATGCATTCAGTCTCAATATAAAATCTTATGTTCTAACAATCTAAACAATCAGATGTAGCATTTTCACCAAGTGGATGTAAAACGGCCATACATTTCTGTAGACTTACATTGATAATATTAACATCAGCATTAGACTTTTAGCAGACTTCACTGCTAGCTTGCAAAGTCTACAGGAAATTGTATCAGCAAGCCATTTGACTTCCATAATGACATATTTCTGGATGAAATAAAATGTTAAACTAGAAAAAGTGTAGATCTTATCTACCGGTAATTGACTGGATCGTGTAAAATGAGAGACAAGTACAAGAATGGATGGCTGTCAAGGACTTAAATATGCTACTGTTTTCCTTTGTTTCATACTATTTTCACCATTTACTGTGTACACTTCTTGCTACATTGTAAAATCATCCTTTTGTGACTGCGATGCTTTTCACGCTGAGGTCAAAGCACTGCGGCAATTGTGTTGAGATATGCATTGAAACCCTGATGCGAGTCATGTGAAAGGATCTTACGGTTCCTCTCTCTTTAACTCTGATGAAATTCCCAGAAATTCAAACTCGCGGCCAAATATCAGTCAGCCGAACAGCTTGGACGTATTCATTGAGGGTTTTTGCCAGACAACTTGTATCCCATCTCTGCTTTCCAATCTGCTTCCTTATTGAATTTGAAAAATGACTTAATTAGCCATTGTGTTATGGTGCAATTTAATCTAATTGTAAAGTCTTCACGGGTGCTTTTCATCATCTGAAAAAAAGAAAAAGGCAAATTATAAACATGTGAGAGTGATTCATGGTTTGTTTTTCAGCTTTGTAGCAGAACAAACTGGTGATTTTCATTTCTCCCCTTTTAGGGGTGAAAATGTTGTGTTTATCGTGTGACAGAGTGTGGTTTTGAAGACAGATGTGCTGTTTGTATGGGCCGCAGTTACAGATGGATTTGTGAGCTGCTTTCAACATGACAACAATAAAGCATCAGATTTTTGGAGCTTCGTGTTTTGGCTGCCTGCCATGATATCTTTCGATTCACTTGTCTTTCAGTGTTTTCACAATTCAAGGTATTCCACTGCATAAGCAAAGTGTCAGTGAAACAAAGATTAAAGCTGTCTGTATTATTTGAGTTTCTGTTAGGGATAAGTATGTAATAATGGAGCTTTTCAATCTAAACAATCAGATGTACATTTTTCACCCAGCAGGTGGAAAATAGGCCAGACATTTTCATTAACTTTACATTTTTAAAAATTAATTAACGTTGACAATACTAGTATTTCACAAGTGACAAGATTTTTCAAACATTTTTTTGTTTCTGCATTAATTTTATTAAAATATTTTTACTTTTATAAACACTTTTTTATATTTTGTCATTTGAAATATACTAAATTGCATTATAAATGTATTAAAAATATTTATTTCTAATATATATATATATATATATATATATATATATATATATAATATATAAAATATATAAGTTTGTGTATATACACACACACACACACACACACACACAGGTTTGTTTTTATGGTTTATGGGGACTCTCCATAGGTGTAATGGTTTTTATACAGTACAAACCGTATTTTCTATTGCCCTACACAACCCTACCCCTAAACCTACCCCTCACAGGAAACTTTCTGCATTTTTAGATTTTCAAAAAAACTCATTCTGAATTATTTATAAGCCTTTTGAATTATGGGGACACTCAAAATGTCCTCATAAATCACCTTCTCGTTGTAATACCTGTCATACCCATGTTATTATACAAATTTGTGTCCTCATAAACCACATAAACATGCACACATATTATAAATAAAATAATATATATCAGCCCTACATTACATCTGTTATATTACATAGAATAGTAAATTTTATTATATATTCATTTTTTTGGTAAATTTTACATTACATGTACTTAAAAATATACCTATACTTGTGTACTTAAAAAAAAAAATTAAAAAAAAGGGAAAAAAAGTTGCTATCTTTTTATGATATTGGATGTGTTTAGTGTGATTTTTAACTACATATTTTAGCTGAAAGTCACATAAAAGCCCGGACTACAGAATTCATCCTTTTAAACATGCTAATTCCTCTGCAAGCAATCATCAGATAAATAAAACCCTCACATATGGTTATTTTGACACTGAACACACATTTTGACACCATTCTCATGGTGTGTCATATTAACCCACACTCCGCTCTGATATAAAACACGCACGACTGCTGCTTTCCGATCTGTCCACCTCAATTCCATGTAACTTTCCAAATCTGAACCAACAAATCCAATGCGGCACCAAGCCAATTAGCACGCCTGTACTTCCTCTACCCAGAATGCATCATAGAAGAGTCGTGTTGCACATCAAGATTACACACCACCACTCATCTTGCATTCCTAAGCCAGCAGCAGTTAGACACATACTAGTATAACTATAAACACGCTCATAGTGTTTGTTTATGAATGAGCAGATGGCTTTGACAGTAATCTGAAATGGAGATGATTCCAAAAAAACTCATTCTGAATTATTTATAAGCCTTTTGAATTATGGGGACACTCAAAATGTCCTCATAAATCACCTTCTCGTTGTAATACCTGTCATACCCATGTTATTATACAAATTTGTGTCCTCATAAACCACATATAATATATATCAGCCCTACATTACATCTTTTATATAACATAGAATAGTAAATTTTATATTTTATTATATATTCATTTTTTTGGTAAATTTTACATTACATGTACTTAAAAATATACCTATACTTGTGTACTTAAAAAAAAAAATTAAAAAAAAGGGAAAAAAAGTTGCTATCTTTTTATGATATTGGATGTGTTTAGTGTGATTTTTAACTACATATTTTAGCTGAAAGTCACATAAAAGCCCGGACTACAGAATTCATCCTTTTAAACATGCTAATTCCTCTGCAAGCAATCATCAGATAAATAAAACCCTCACATATGGTTATTTTGACACTGAACACACATTTTGACACCATTCTCATGGTGTGTCATATTAACCCACACTCCGCTCTGATATAAAACACGTACGACTGCTGCTTTCCGATCTGTCCACCTCAATTCCATGTAACTTTCCAAATCTGAACCAACAAATCCAATGCGGCACCAAGCCAATTAGCACGCCTGCACTTCCTCTACCCAGAATGCATCATACAAGAGTCGTGTTGCACATCAAGATTACACACCACCACTCATCTTGCATTCCTAAGCCAGCAGCAGTTAGACACATACTAGTATAACTATAAACACGCTCATAGTGTTTGTTTATGAATGAGCAGATGGCTTTGACAGTAATCTGAAATGGAGATGATTTTTTAATTTACTTAAATTTAGCATTTGGCTCTGTTTAATCCCCGGACGATTTTAAAGAAAGTCAGCTCCTCTCCTGCTGCGTCTTGACGTGTTTTGAATGTTGTTGAGTTTGTGGTGCTCTTACAGTTTTGTGTTATTGAAGTTATTAAAGTTGTAGCTTTTTTGCAAAAGTCGTACATTTATGAATTATTTCAATTGGTTTGCTTTCGGTTCTTTCAAAGATCATTTGGGTTTGCGATTGTGTATAGTAATGGCAGCCGTGTTGAATAGCGTGTGCCATGCACAGTCTTTTATGACTCCACTGAGAAACATTCAACCGTTGCTTCAATTACAGTGACTTAGAGTTACACGGCCCATAAAACAGCTAATACTTACCGCCTTCTGAAAACAAGCATTAGCGACTGACAATCGAACCCAGAAATGTCTTTACATTTCTAAAGTGCTGTAATACTTTAACATATACATTAGATTCTACATTTCCTGGAGGAAGTTTTAGTGGTATTTGCTTGTGTAAAACTAACTGTCTTGAGGTCAGATTTTGCCTAAAAACATTCTACATTTTCCACTATTTGCTAAGGCAGTAACTAAGGCGGGCCTGTTCAATTAGCTTCATTTGAGGGCCGGAATATCGAATTGAAAATTTGAAGGGGGCCAAAATCTGTGTATCATTCGATCATTCGTTTTTTGATTTAATATTGAAAATAGAAAAATTAGAAAACGGCTCCTTTTTCATTTATTTGTTTTTTTCCAAAAAACGAGAAACGAGAATTCAGC